CGGGACCCATGACCGACACGACGTGACCTCACCACCTGCACCACGTGACCCCGGGACCCACACGACGTGACCTCACCACCTGCACCACGTGACCCTGGGACCCACACGACGGGACCTCACCACCTGTACCACGTGACCCCAGGGCTCCTTCAGCTTTGGGTTAGTACAGCACACACCACCTGCGCCGCCCAGGGTCCACACTGACAACGCCGGCCCGAGACAGTTCTCTGCCAGGCTGCTGCTCCGTGACAAGCTCCTGCAACGGGGTCATATGCTGCCTGCTCCCCACATAGACTGCAGAGCCCCACGAGAGAGCGGGGACCTGGCCTCCTTCCCAAGCAGATCCCAGCACCCGGAACTGTACACAGTAGGGCTCAATCACTATGCAGACCTAACATGCGAATAACTTTATACCTGGAGGACTAAGGGGGCCTGCCCCAAGCCATGGTGTTTTCAATCACATCATATGCCTGTGAGAGCTGGACGATGAATACGGAAGACCAGACAGAACTGACATCTTTGAATTACAGTGTTGGTGAAGGATACTGAATATCCCATGGACTGCCAGAGAAGGAATAAATCTGTCTTGGAAGCAGCACAGCCAGCATGCACCTTGGAAATGAGGATGGTGAGACTTAGTCTCACGTACTTTGGACATGGTATCAGGAGGGACTAGCCCCCGGAGAAGGACTTCATGCTTGGTAAAGTAGAGGGTCAGCGAAGAAGAGGAAGACCGTCAACGAGATGGACTGACACAGCGGCCGCAACAGTGGGCTCCAGCATAACAACGACGGCGCAGGACCGGGCAGTGTGTCCTTCTGTTGCGCACAGGGTCGCTATGGGTCGGAACTGACTGCACCACCAACACGCGAATAACAGAAAAGGGGAGTCCCTGGGTGCTCAGCTGCTAACCAAAAGGTTGGTGGTTCAAACCCGCCAGCAGCCCTGTAGGAGAAAGATGTGGCAGTCTGCTTCTGTAAAGATTACGGCCTTGGAAACCCTATAGAGCAGATCTATTCTGTCCTATAGGGTCGCTATGAGCTGGCAACAGCTCAACAGCAGAGGGTTTTAACGGGTACCTGTGAATATGTTTTGAAATCCGATTTTTTGTATGTTGATCAGATCACATCAGTGCACGGTAGGTGCTAACCCTAATCCCTTCTGAGTTATAAAAAGAGCAGCACAGACAGACAGACAGACAGACAGACAGACAGACAGACACACACACACACACACACACACACACACACACACACACACACACACGGAAGACAGACGCCATGTGAGCCCCGCCTGGGGCTGCTGACAAGGAAGGAATCCACGTGGCCGAGACCCTGACTCGTAGCCTCCAGAACTGTGAGAACATACATTTCTGTGCTGTAAGGCCCCGCGTGTGTGTTTCTGTGTTTCTGTCTCTGCAGCCTAGGTGACTGAGCCGGCCACCAGCCTCCACCTGCGACATGGGGCGCCTCCTGGTGGTGAGGACAGAGATGAAGCAAGCAGAGGCCTCCGCCCACGGCCCCCAGAGCGCACTCACCCAAGGAGTCCCAGCTGTCTCCCGCGCTGGGGCAGGTGAATCTCTGGCCGAGGATGTCCGGGTAGGCTTCTAGGAAGTCTACTGTCTTCACGGGGCTTTCAAAGCGAGCTCCATCTAGGACACACAGCCCAGGGAGGTTTGTGAGAGACGGGGAGACCCCAAACCACAGAGTCAGGGCGGCTGGCACAGTCTCCCGAGAGCCGGGGTCTGCCCTGGTGTTCTCCTCCACCCACCCACCTTGGTGTCCCATTCAGAAGTGGTCGTCAGTCCTTAGGAACACGTTTCCCTCCTGCAAACACACGGTGCACCTTTGCGGGGCAGACTAAACCGCGACCCGGGAGCACGCCCTTCCTGAGCCCTCAGCCCGCGGCCCGGCCTCACCTCGGGCCCCGGCCTCCAGGAGGCCGAGCAGGTAGTTGCTGGTCTGCTGCAGTAGGACATTGTTGTCTCCCTCATACGTGCAGTTGGGATCGTTGTCATCCCGGAGGTCGCCCAGGCGGTTCACTGCAACAGAGCGTTTTCCTCCTTCCAGACGCACGCCGGAAGGCCGCTCCGCCCCCATCTGAGCCTTTACGAGTCCTGTCCCAGCCCGACCTGGGATGAGCCCTCGCAACCTGGCTTCGAGCCCGCTCTGAACTAGCTGGGGGCCTCTGGGGCTCTGAAGTCTAGTCCCCCCATCTTTAACTCTGGACAGCAAAGGGGCCGGCAGGCCGAAGGGAGACTCGCCACCATCATCCTCACTGCCAGCGTACCGGGCAGCTCGCCCCCAGCGTGGGAAGGCCCGGCGGACACTGGAATGCTCTCCAAGGAGGGGAGTGGACCACCTCAGCAGGCTGCCTGTCTGGCTGCTGGACAGGGCTCACCATCCCAAAATTGGCTAGGAATCGAACCCGGGTCTCCTGCGTGGGAGGGGAGAATCTACCACCTTCTTTGCGTGGTATCTGTTGTTGCTGCTGTGTGCCGTCAAGTCAATCCCGACCCACAGCAGCCCTATATGACAGAGAGAACTGCCCCATGGGGTTTCTCAGGCTGTCACTTTTTACAGGAGCAGAGTGCCAGGTCTTTTCTCCCGTGGAGCGGCTGCTAGGTTCAAACCGCCCATCCTCCAGTTAGCAGCCGTGCATGTGGTATATAAAACCCAAAAAAACCATTGCCATCGAGTCGATTCCAACTCATAGTGACCCTGCAAGACAGAGTAGAACTGCCCCACAGGGTTTCCAAGGAGCGGCTGGTGGACTCGAACCGCTGACCTTTTGGTTAGCAGCCTGAACTCTTAACCACGGCGCCACCAGGTCTCTGTGTGGTATACAGTGTGTGATATTGAGGAAAAAAGTTCAGGGTAACTAGAAAAAAAACAGTTGCCATCAAGCCGACTCTGACTCATGGCGACCCTACATGTGTCAGAGTAGAACTGTGCTCCACACGGTTTTCCAGAAGTAATTGCCAGGCCTTTCTTCTGAGGCACCTTTGGGTGGACTTGAACCTCCAACCTTCTGGTTAGCAGCTGAGTGTGTTAACCATCTGTACCCCCCCAGGGCCTCCTCCTGCCAGTTAAATAACCCTAATTCGTCCATGTGCTGTGTAAGGAATGCTTCCCAGAGCCTCATCACGCGGTCTTCCTCCCCCGACCCGGCATGTTCTCCCAATGTGAGGCTGAGACGGGTTGAGCCCAGCGGGGAAGGCGTGGCGCTGGCTTCTCACACTCATGTGCTGCCATTTACAGGCCAAAGACGGCTGCCAGTTCTCACTGGGCTTGTGGTCACCTATCACACCTGATCTTTTTCCCCCGACTGGCTGTGAAGTCTCCCTGACACCAGTTAAACCACTGAACGTGAAGAGGGACTTAGAGAGGAGACGTTCAGCTGATGTTTTAAACCAGGACCAAGGCCTCACTCTGACCCCTGCTGTCATCAGTCCCACTGGCCTCAGTCCAGCGTTTGGATCTGTACTGAATCCTGATTAAATCAATTCTGCAGTCTGCAAGGCTGCGAGACTCAACTTCCTTATTCTACTGAGAAAACGGGGACTAAGCTAAACAACTTAGAGCGTCTCTGTGAGTATAATAAATAAAAAATGATCAAGAACACTGCACAGAGACAGAACTATGTATGAAAGAATCAGTTACACATCAGCCTGGTTACCCAGATGTCAATAATTAGTAACAGAGAGAGAGAAAACAGGGAGCATGTGAGACCCACGACTGTCTGTCCCACACCAGAGCGAGCGCACCCCATCACTGCCCACGTTCCAGCAGGGGGCCCAGCCCTCCCTCGGAAAATAACTGGGATAGACACTAGAAGTAGGGAAGTATCTAGAGGTTGCCACCGAAATGCTCACAAACTCGGCAAGAGGCCAACAAGCTGCCATGGGTATAAACTGTCAGCTGGGTTTGTGCCAGTTCTGTGGTTTGTCTTCTGTGCGTGTGTGTGCAGGCCTTCTTTGAGTAACCAAGTTTAAACAACTGATCATTTCAGATTAGCGCACAGGAAGTTTTTCAGGCAAGCTGCAAATGACGATGATGCCAGTAACAACGGTGAGAATAACCTTGACTACAGACACTAGTTGCTGGGCGTGTGCTGCGTGCCAGACACTACACTAAGCACGTCACATGGACTCACTCAATCCTGGCACGAACTTATGATGTGGGTGTTCTGTTACTACTCCTGTCTTAGAGATTAGGAAACAGAGGCACAGAGAGGTTACACAGCTTGCCCACAGTTGCACAGCTGGTGTGTGGTTGAGCTGGGATTCGAACCCAGGCTGTTTGGCTGCCTGTTCTCTGAACCGTACGCCAGCTGCCAAAACAACAGCCGCTGCCAATGACGCGAAGTCTCTTTTTCTAACCGTAAAAATGTTTTCATCAAAATAAAACTTGGTGCTAACACTGTTACTACCAAGTCATTCACCAAAAAGTTACCACTCGAACGAACAGATGACTATTTCGTTGTGGTTTTCAGTGGGCTGATTCATACAGGTTCATCGTCTTCCCCAATTTTCAACCAAGAAACCTTGGACATCAGAACGCGCAGGGCTCTGTCTAGAATGAGTTGACAAGTGTGTTCTGTGAAGGCCAGAGAGTAAGTGTTCTAGGCTTTCTGGCCACATGGTCTCTGCTGCTGTGGAGCGGAAGCAGCATCAGACGATACACACAGGAGTGGGCGTGGCTGTGAGCCGGGGAAACAGAACAGGGGGGCCGGCTGGATGTGGCCCTTGGGCCAGAGTTTGCTGACCGTCGCTCCAGAGTCAAACGGTAGGACCAGGGCAGGACACCTACTGGCCAGATATCCGTGTCCCCCGCACGCCTCCCGGCATTCCTGGATTCCTTGCTGGGCCGTCCACGAGGCCAGGGGCTTGCCAGCCGATGCCAAGGCATGGATCTCCCGCCCGAGCTCTGCCTTTGGGAAAGGGAATCAAACATAACAGGTGAGAAGAGACTGCGGACACCAAGAGACGGCGGTCCACTTCAATGCTAGTGTCAGATGACCATGACCCCTCAAGGCCATGACCAAAAACCAAACCAAACCCGCTGCTGTCAAGTCGATTCCAGCTCACAGTGACCGTATAGGACAGAGCAGAACTGCCCCCTGGGGTTTCCAAGGCTGTCATCTTTACGGAAGCAGACTGCCACATCTTTCTCCCGCGGAGAGGTTGGTGGGTTGGAACTGCTGACCTTTTGGTTAGCAGACGAGCACTTAACCACTGCGCCACCAGGCCGATTCCAAACAAAGTAACCAAGTCTAGTTTAAAGAAAGGGCTTATTCAAGAATGGGTAAACCATGGCACACTCACGCAGTTTTCCCAGCAATGGAAATAAATGGATCACAGCTCCCACAGCAGAGACCCTGGGGCCTGAGTGCTCACCACACAAGCCAGCTGCAGAAGAAGGCGCGTTGTGATGCGGCTTGTGTAAAGTTCACACGCACGTAACACTGACACTGCTCAAAGTTACAAACGTACGTGGTGCGACTATAAAGAAAAGCGAGCAAACCAAACACGGTACTGGAGATGGGGCTTCCCTCTGAGCAGGGAGGGACGGCCTGGCAGGACCGTTAAGGGCAATGAGGTCCGTTTACTGTGTAAAACAGGGAGGGGTACAGGGGCGTTACGGCATTACCACCCTGCACCTTACGAATGTTTTATAAAGGGTCTTTTGCTTCTACTTAACACTTAATGAAAACAATTAAGAGACACACACACAGACATACTTGCCAAAAAAAAAAGTTGCTGTTGAGTCGATTCTGACTCATGGTGACCCCATGTGTGCAGAGTAAAACTGCTTCATAGGGTTTTCAAGGCTGTGACTTTTTGGAAGCAGATCACCAGGCCTTTCTTCCGTGGTGTCTCTCGGTGGGTTCGAACCACCAACCTTTCGGTTAGCAGCCGAGCGCGTTCACGGTTTTCACCACCCAGGACTGCCTTGTGACTTCCGTATGTTTTATAGACTTTTGCTTCTACCTAAAGTTTAGTGAGAACAATTAAGACACACACACCTGCACACTTGCTAAATAAAATGAGAGGTGACTCTGAGGACGCGCTGCAACTGGGTTAAATCACCGTGCTTCTGAAAGAAGAGCGTGTCACTGCACTTGACAAAATTATTAGCAGAGAACAATCCAGATGTTAACTGGCAAAGCCACCATGACTCATTTAGGGGAAAAACAAGCAATTAACCCCTTCTTCTCCCCAACACGCTCGCTCCTCAGCCCTCGGTGGCCTCTGTTCCACTCTGCTGGGAACCCTGCTATCGTCCCCACATGCCCTCCGGCCCTCGCTCCTGGGTGTTTACGCCTAACAGGCCACCATGTGCTGATTGGACACAGGCTCTGTAGGGTGCCGCACACAGCCCCAGCTCTGCAGCATCAGCAGTCTGTTGTGAAATGCACTTCTCCGGATTCATGTCGCGCCCCCACCCGGGTCTCCGGGGCTCAGCAATCATAGGACTGCTTTTCACTCAGCGACTGATCTCGGGGAATCTGACGCAGATGCCTGGCACAGATCCCGGGCCGTCAACTCAGATTTCATCATCTGGATCCAGACCTTTGTCGGCTGTTTATCCAAGGGTCGGAACTGTGAAATCCGCTGAGGAGCGGGTTGTGCAGACTCTGCAAAACCATCATGTTCTCAAACGGAGAACAGCAGCTGAACTGACAGACGGGGTTCAGGGGATGAGTCGGCCCATCCCTGAAAGACAGGATATGGACAAGTGCCTACACCGTCCAAACACAGAGGAAGCTGAAGCCAAGTGTGTGGAAACCCGCTGGCAGAGCAGGTCTCCAGCTTGATCCCCTGTTTGGTCTTGAATAAAGGCTGGCTCTCGGTCACTCAGCCTCAGTGAAGGTTAAACCATCACAGATATGCCGGGAGGAGTCGTGACGGCTCACCTGTCTGGCACTCCGGTCCCCAGTTTTCAGGCCTTGCTGGAGCTCCACCAGGTCCAGAAAGAGAGACTTGCAGAAATGGTCTAAGGCGTAGGCTGCCGCCAGGTACGGAAGCAGGCGCCATTGCTAGGATAAACAGACACGCACGTAAACACATCACACATCCTCACAAAGGACTGGCCACCTTGGAGATGGTTGTGGAGGCCAGAAAAGAGAGAGTGCATGGCAGGGAAGGACTCCCCATGGGCTCCAGTCCATGCTGGAGAGCACACACAGGCCTTTCTGTGCCTTCAGGAAACCTTCACCCCAACAGTTTCTCCACTGGATGGGTGGGT